GTGATAGCGATTGCTGTATGAGTCATACGATTTTTGAATCAAGCACAGGCAACGCCGGGCCATGCTGCTAGTCATATATAATATTGTGTCAATGTCAATTGTATTTTTATATTTTTATATATAAGATCCATTTCATCAGTAAAACTTTTATGAAGGCATTCCTTTTCTGTATATAATGCTTTATTATACATATTTCCATCTTATTTCTTTATTTACATATATAGCTCGTTTTAACAAATAAACCTTGTGTGGGATCTCAACTATTGATGCCCATACTTGTGATTGATAGTGGTGGTTTTTGCAATTGGTAGATTGTCTAATACTCTTTGTGTCCTTGATTTTTGTGGTGAGATGTAGAGCAGGGTTTTTCAAACTGTGGGTCCTGGCTCTTCAGTGGGTCGCAAGGTAAATAAAATGGATTGTGACAAAAAGAAAGAAAAAAATACATAAGTGTGAGCAAAATGCAGGATATAAACAACTCTAAATGTTTCACAGCGCACATAAATCATCGCTAGTTTTTTTACTGAGGTAAGCTCGTATTATATTTTATTTTTTTAAATATATAATCTGTTCTCATTGAGTTCCTGCATCTTGTTTGTCACCCATTGCAGACAGTGACATCAGTTCTCTCTCACAAAGAGACCCGGCACCTAAACTTAGTTACAGTGTACAGTGCGTTCATCTTTGTGGCCAGTAAAAGTCATTAAGATTGTTGAATAATTCACTTGCATCTGAAGTCAGGTCTAAATGTGAATTTCCCAACTCGATGTCAAAGTCGAGTAACAGTACATTCTCTCTGTGCTAGTAAGATGTTGTGTTCATTTGAAGACTCAGAATTTTTGGTTTGGTTTGTTTTGTTTTACTGCATATCAACCTTAGTAGGTTATTTAATGCTGACAACTTTTTTTTCCTGATAATATTTTGTTTTGTCAAAAATCTATTTCTGGTAATATTTTTTTCTCAAAAAAAGCTGGTTACTTTAAAAAATGTATTGCTGGTAATTTTTTTTTTTTTTTTAAAAATTTACTTTAAAAAATGTATTGCTGGTAATTTTTTTTTTTTTTTTTTTTTTTTTTTTCAAAATTTATTTCTGGTAATAATTTTTTACAAAGTATTTCTGGTATTAAAACCTATTTTTATACTTTCTTAATGCCTCAGTTTTGGGGTTAACTATTTGCCAATAGCTGGGACCCTAAAAGGTGCTACCACCCCGGGTCAGAGTGGACCTGGAAACACTAGCAATTAAGAGGTGGTTCCATGCTCCTCAAACCTCCTGATCAGAGGCCTTGCTGTTTGGACAGAGTTTACATAGCGGATGTAGTTTATCGTCATACACAGGACACCAGAATTTTTGGTGAGTTACCTGTTGTTTTGACAAAATTTAAGAACGGGCGAGAGTTACTTTTAAGTAATTTATGTTCCTACATGCAATTGTTGATGCTAATTAAAGGAGCCTAGTTAACAGTTTGTCTTTGATTTATTACACGTAGGGTAATAAATCACAATGCAAAATGTGGTTCTTGCTGTGGGTCAGAGTAAAAAAAAAAAAAAAAAAATTTATAAAATGTTGATGTAGAGGATTCTTCAAACTCTTGTCTCTTGGAGTGAAATGGAACATCTTCAGTTTTTATATACACACAATAGAATCCCAGAGCCTTGTTTGTATTCCCCAACTTTTATTTATTATAAGGATATAAATAACCAGAACATCAAAGAAACCGATTCTTGTAATATTATCTTGTGCTAATAAAATACTGCAATGTAATAACTGTATCTCTGATGTGTTTATTCATATTTTTACCTAATGAAGTGTCTTTTATGGAGGTCAGATGGACTAATCTTTTATCCCATGCATGTCCCTTAAATAGTTTGTCCTTATCCTGATATTGCTGTCTGAGTGCTTCTTGTAATTAATCTTAAGTTCATCAAGTTTCTTCCATTGTCTGAAAACCAGATGGTCCTGATGCTGACAAGTTGCTCAAGACCCCAGAATTTGAGGATTCTTATATTTTGGTTGTTCCCAAACCAGTTTCTCTGGGTCACATTTTCAGAATGAAAATTTGCTTGTGCCTCATCAAATTTTATGTGATAAAACATGCATTTAAAAATAAAAAAAAAACAAAAACAGAGTGAGTGTTAAAAGGAGAAAACTGTGGATTCAAAGTCAGAACATTATCATTGATAACTCTCTCCTCCAATTTGCAGTTACTATATTCTTAATACTTGATATAATGCAAATATATCACAAACTTTTTCAATGGCAATGTTGTGTCTCATTTTAGAAAAATTTTACAATGCAAGGCAAAAACAACTAACATTGGACAGCTTTTTACTGAAAGCAAAAAGAAAAGAAACCCTAGAAAAATACTTACCTGAATATATAGTGTAAACATGTAAATAAGAATTCATTGGGTGCTTGGAAATAAATTAATCTCTTTTACGTTAATTGTAATAGGAAAAAAATGATTCGGTTCTCAAACAATTCAATTTTAGAACAGACTTTCAGAACAAATTATGGTCAAGAACTGATGTTGCTCTGTAATTATATTGGAAGCCATGCATGCAATTACAAGTAAACTATCATCATATTTTAAATTTTGAAATCATATTTTTGGCATATGAATTTTTTGAAACTGTTTCTTTATCTTTGATTGTCTTTCAATGTTTCCGCCTCACCTGCTATCCTCTTCCGCTGCACCTATGAGGTATGCTGCACAGTTTGGGAACCACTACCTTAAGTGGACACATGCTCTCACACTAGTGAGTTGAATCTGCCTGGATTAATCTCTGATTAACAATTCTTAGCCATTATCCATTACACCATCCACACATCCAAGCTTAGAACATTTGGTATTCCCAAGCGATCGCACATCTAGGTACTGACCAAGTTTCATGTTGCAAAACTTGGGGGATCATACAGAACATTATTATTGATAACTCTCTCCTCCAATTTGTGGACCCTATTTACTATATTCTTAATACTTTATATAATGCAAAAATATTACAATTATAAAATCAGTCAATAACTATGCATGCAATTACAAGTAATCCATAATAATATTTTATATTTTTAAGTCATATTTATTTTTGGTATATGAATTTTTAAAAATTGTTTCTATATCTTTGATTCTTTCAATCATTTCACATCACCTGCTATCCTCTTCTGCTGCAAAGTTTGGGGTTCACTGTTATAATTCAATATAGAATTAGCTGAATAATACAAAATAAAACATGTCCTGGGTAAGATGTTAAACTACATCCAGCAGCAAGGCCTTTGATCAGGAGGTTTTGAGGAATGTGGAATCACCTCTCAATTGCTGGTGTTCCCACGTCCACCCTGACCTAGGGTGGTAGCACCTGTTAGGGTCCCAGCTATGGGAAAATAGTTAATTATTACTAGCAATGCTTTTTTGAAAAAAATTATTACCAGCAATACAATTTTGAAGGAAAAATATTACCAGAAACAGATTTTTGACGAAACAAAATATTACCAGCAATAAAAAATGTTTTATCCACTGTGCCATGTGTCCTCAAGGACACATGGCACAGTGGATAAAGGTGTTGGTTAGATCCAGTGACAGACCCAAAGAATATGTGTTCAATACCCGGTTAAGGCAGTGGAGAACTTTCAGAGGGATAACTGATAACTGACATCCATCAAGCATGGCACGTAGAACTAGAACAGTCTACCCCAGTGATCAAAATAAAGGGTTCAGTTCGAAATTCCAACCACCTGAAGAAGGCCAGAGCGTACAACGGCCGAAACGTTGTGACAAATATGGCGACAAAGATGAGGACAATAGTCCGACTAATGTAAATACTATAAAAAATGTTGTTGGCATTAAATAACCCATTGAGGTTGATATGCCGTAAAAACAAAATAAACCAAACCAAGCCAAAATAAAACATCTTCATGAGATTGGCCAATTTAGATTTTATCCCAGAAGATATTAATCGTGTCAACCCCTGACTAGGCAAACCAGAGAAGAATTGAATAATTATTTTTTTTTATGGATTTACTTGATCTTTATCAGAGGTTGATCCATGTTGAGTACATTTTCACCATTCACTTTGGGATTTTAATTAAGATTTTTAATTGGTTATTTCTTTGCTTGATGTAATCGATATATGTAATGTTGACATATTTCTATAAATATTTTTATGGTAATTGTTCTCACAAGCTTTCATCTTTGCTACCTAGACTTTATGAATTTAAGCACAGTACTAGATTGGTGGAAAGGCCTCATCATTTTATAGCTCAAATGGAACGTAAGTCATCATCTTCTATCTTCTTAATACCTATTTTTTCATTGTTCTCTCTTGGTAATAATGTTTTCTTTTTCTCATATTCTTTCACATTCCATAACTGCCTGTCTTAGCAGGTTTATTGTTTGAATTGTGGGTGAAATGATTAGAAAAATCTTTCATCACTATTGGTTTTTTCTCCGCCTGGTGGCACCTTCCGTCATGATTGGTTCTTCCTCCTCCATGTGTAGCCTCTGGCTGCAATTGGTTTCCTTCGCCTCCGTGTGTAGCCTCCGGCCGCGATTGGTTTCCTTCGCCTCCGTGTGTAGCCTCCGGCCGCGATTGGTTTCCTTCGCCTCCGTGTGTAGCCTCCGGTTGCGATTGGTTTCCTTTGCCTCCATGTGTAGCCTTCGGTTGGATATGAAATTAATATAATGAACCTAATGTGAATTGAAACTGTGGCCTCTGATTAACAGTTCTGAGCTTTTATCCATTACACCTACAGCACATCCATGCTTACAACCACTCATATTCTCAAGCAGTCACCCCTCTAGGTATTGAGTGTTGCATTTGAAAATCATATCAGAACTGATGTTTCAATGTGATATAAACTATGATTGATTCTTTCTCTGTGTGCTGTAACCTTTCATCCTGATTTTTTTTCATATTCTTTAATTGATTTTAATGTTGTAAAATTTGCAAAGGGTGTTCTTATGTGCAAACTGACCTTACCTGGATGCTCTTTCTCTTTTCAGGTGTTACCTTTCCGAGCGGTTTTGCAAAAGCCGAGACATATTTGTAGCATGCAGGCAACAAAGTCAAGCCAAATCCAAGTTTTCCTTGCAGAGATTTTCAGCCCAGAAGATGAAGGCCCTGTGGCCAATTCTGAGGTGACTATATTACAGACTGAAAAACTTTCACTATAAAAAAAAATTATCCTTATCTTTCTGTTTGTTCCATTTTTAGCATATATTATGCCCTGTCCCCTGCCCACAAATTCTTGGTTTTGCAGCAGCTGACAAAGTAAATCTCTAACTTTTTTGTTTACTTTTGACAAGCCTCACTCTGGGGGCATGTTGAAAATGTACATAACAGGTGTAAGAGCAAAATTGTCCAGTTGTTAGATTAAGCTTTGAAATGATTAAAGATATCTTACTGGAATTCTTCAAGGTTTTTATAACACTATTGGACTTTACTTTAAACAATAAGAATGTATTTAGCTCTAAATTAAAATGATGATCCCTCATCCTATTGTGACCTCCTAATCCAGTTTTCCTCTTTACTGTTACCTCTTTTTTTTTTTTTTTTTTTTTTTTTTTTAAACTTATTCATTGTTCTCTTAATGGTCCTTGAATGGACTTTGAAGATGGATACCAGAGTATGAAAGTTGGTATCATTACTAAAGGCCTGAAAGATCTTTTTCTTTTCACCATTGCTCAGTTGGGAAGATACAATGGGGCTGACACAAAAGAATTTTAACTTTTCTCTTTCTAAATGAATAACTCAAAGGGTTTTTCAGTGATTCTTAAAGCAAATGGAGTCAAGATGGCTAAATGCCTTATTTGAAGACCTGAAAAAAAGAAACACAATTAGTTTTGTGGTTTGTAAGATATTAAACATTTTGTTGGATGGACAGATATATATACCATGCTGTTGTATGATTTGGAAAATTTTACTGGTATGTGTTGCGTGAAAGAAAAAAATGGCAGAAAGAAAGGGAAGATAGATAAGTCGATCATGTTCTCTTGCAAATAATGTCTGCTTCAGTGAAATATGGCAATCCAAAATGAAACTGGAATTTCAAGGTCCTGCTATACATGGTTAAAGGAAATAGCAGTCATAAAAACTATTTGAAAAATGCTAGGGAATTAAAACACTGCTTTTACACTTCTGTTAATTATTTCATGGAAAAAAGCCGATGCAAATAGATGAGCATAGCCAGTGCAAGGGTCTTGTACTCCTTCAATTTACAATGTGTACCCCCCCCCACTCTAGTACATCTCAATTTTCATAATATCTGCTCAGCAAACATGATATATTTAGAAAGACTATTAAAATAATCAAAAACTTATACTGGCTGCAAACTGCCTGCAAACAGATAGAAAATGAGTTCAACAGATATACAAAATAGAAAAAGTGTGTAAGGCATCTCAATTTTCATAATATCTGCTCAGCAAACATGATATATTTAGAAAGACTATTAAAATAATCAAAAACTTATACTGGCTGCAAACTGCCTGCAAACAGATAGAAAATGAGTTCAACAGATATACAAAAATAGAAAAGTGTGTAAGGCATCTCAATTTTCATAATATCTGCTCAGCAAACATGATATATTTAGAAAGACTATTAAAATAATCAAAACTTATACTGGCTGCAAACTGCCTGCAAACAGATAGAAAATGAGTTCAACAGATATACAAAAATAGAAAAGTGTGTAAGGCATCTCAATTTTCATAATATCTGCTCAGCAAACATGATATATTTAGAAAGACTATTAAAATAATCAAAAACTTATACTGGCTGCAAACTGCCTGCAAACAGATAGAAAATGAGTTCAACAGATATACAAAAATAGAAAAGTGTGTAAGGCATCTCAATTTTCATAATATCTGCTCAGCAAACATGATATATTTAGAAAGACTATTAAAATAATCAAAACTTATACTGGCTGCAAACTGCCTGCAAACAGATAGAAAATGAGTTCAACAGATATACAAAAATAGAAAAGTGTGTAAGGCATCTCAATTTTCAGGATAATATCTGCTCAGCAAACATGATATATTTAGAAAGACTATTAAAATAATCAAAAACTTATACTGGCTGCAAACTGCCTGCAAACAGATAGAAAATGAGTTCAACAGATATACAAAAATAAAAAAGTTAAGACATCTCAATTTTCAACTAATATCTGCTCAGCAAACATGATATATTTAGAAAGACTATTAAAATAATCAAAAACTTATACTGGCTGCAAACTGCCTGCAAACAGATAGAAAATGAGTTCAACAGATATACAAAAATAGAAAAGAAATAAGGCATCTCAATTTTCATAATATCTGCTCAGCAAACATGATATATTTAGAAAGACTATTAAAATAATCAAAACTTATACTGGCTGCAAACTGCCTGCAAACAGATAGAAAATGAGTTCAACAGATATACAAAAATAGAAAAGTGTGTAAGGCATCTCAATTTTCATAATATCTGCTCAGCAAACATGATATATTTAGAAAGACTATTAAAATAATCAAAACTTATACTGGCTGCAAACTGCCTGCAAACAGATAGAAAATGAGTTCAACAGATATACAAAAATAGAAAAGTGTGTAGAAATCTCAATTTTCATAATATCTGCTCAGCAAACATGATATATTTAGAAAGACCTTAAAATAATCAAAAACTTATACTGGCTTTGCCTGCAAACAGATAGAAAATGAGTTTGGAACAGATATACAAAAATAGAAAAGTTGTAAGGCATCTCAATTTTCATAATATCTGCTCAGCAAACATGATATATTTAGAAAGACTATTAAAATAATCAAAAAACTTATACTGGCTGCAAACTGCCTGCAAACAGATAAAAAATGAGTTCAAGATATACAAAAAATAGAAAAGTTAATGGCATCTCAATTTTCATAATATCTGCTCAGCAAACATGATATATTTAGAAAGACTAAAAAATAATCAAAAATTTATACTGGCTGCAAACTGCCTGCAAACAGATAGAAAATGAGTTCAACAGATATACAAAAATAGAAAAGTGTGTAAGACATCTCAATTTTCATAATATCTGCTCAGCAAACATGATATATTTAGAAAGACTATTAAAATAATCAAAAACTTATACTGGCTGCAAACTGCCTGCAAACAGATAGAAAATGAGTTCAACAGATATACAAAAAAATAGAAAAGTGTAAGGCATCTCAATTTTCATAATATCTGCTCAGCAAACATGATATATTTAGAAAGACTATTAAAATAATCAAAACTTATACTGAAACTGCCTGCAAACAGATAGAAAATGAGTTCAACAGATATACAAAAAATAGAAAAGTGTGGTAAGACATCTCAATTTTCATAATATCTGCTCAGCAAACATGATATATTTAGAAAGACTATTAAAATAATCAAAAACTTATACTGGCTGCAAACTGCCTGCAAACAGATAGAAAATGAGTTCAACAGATATACAAAAATAGAAAAGTGTGTAAGGCAAGGATGTGTCTTCTCACCAGACTCATTCAACTTATACAGCGAGGCAATTCTGAGAGAACTAGAAGTCCTATCAGGATTCATTATTGGCAGCCACAATCTTAACATAAGGTATGCAAATGACACAATGTTCATAGCATATACAGAAAGAAAACTACAAAAACTCCTACAGATGGCTGTGAAAGAAAGCAAGAAGTAAGGATTAAACATCAATTGCAAGAAAACAGAATGCATGGTTGTTAGCAAAAGGCTGAGCCCAAAGTGCGAATTGCAAATTGGAGATACCAGAATCAAACAAGTGTAGAAATTTAAATATCTAGGATGTGTTTTGACAGAGGACGGCAAGTGAAACACTGAAATCAGAAGGTATATCGGGAGAGCAAAAGAAGCATTCCAAAAGCTAAGCAGAGTATTAAGAAAAAGGAAAATTTCACTAGAAACAAAGAAAAGAGTACTAAACTGCTATGTGATATGTGTCCTCCTGTACAGCAGTGAGTGCTGGACAATCTCCATGGAGACTTGAAGCAACAGAAATGTGGTTCTATATGAGGATGCTGATGATATCATGGACTGGACATGTGAGCAATGACAAAGTTTTGGAGAAAATGGTAACAAAAAAGTTAACTAATACTTAACATCAGGAAGAGACAGTTGAGGTTTCTAAGGCATATAATGAGAAAGGAGGATTTGGAAAATCTGATACTCACAGGACAGAGAGCTTGAGGAACAGAGGAAAACAACGTATAACATACTTAGTAAGCTTTACTAAATGGATGGTGGAACAGGGTTTAGGAGAAATAACAGAAAGACAAAGTTTACTAAGAGCTACAAGGACAGGAAGTTGTGGAGAGTCATGATCGCCTACATCCACAGCATATAAAGAAGAAAAAGCATATAAAATACAAATTTTATTGTAATCTAATTATGTACAATAATGGATCATATGCAATAGAGGTGAACAATTCAAAGAGAAAAAGTGAAAATAAATACAATGTATCTAAATACAAATTAGAGACATGTCATAATAGATCATTCCATCTTAAATAAATCAACAATATTTTGTGGCAATTCTTAACATTAATTTGATTTTTCTTCTTAAAAAGTTGAATAATTTTAACAGATTCAACATTATGGATAAAAAGTAGTGCACTTTTATATAGTGTTTTTTTTTTTTTTTTTTTCTTTTTTCAGTACTTAGCATGAGAAAAGCAAATTCACAAATTTTAACGGAAAAAAAGTCTTCAGAATGTCGTCAAAATCTGTGAAAACTTTTCAACCTTACAGTCAGTTGTGCTTAGTTTAAATTGTAATATATATATATATATATATATATAAAAATAGGTAGAAAAAAGCAAATATTGATAAGATCGTGAGGGTCACAAAGCACTACTCACAAATCACTAATCAGGCTTTGGTCCCCTCCCCACTTTCAGGCTTAGTATGCTCTGGCCCTGTAGCTGGGTAAAGTGTTGCAAGTTTACATCATACTTATTATAAAACCCTGGTTGTGTGTGTGTGTGTGTCTGTTCGTTTATAGGATCGGATTTACTACATTTTTCAACCGATTTGAACAAAACTTCACATGACTATGTAAATTTACCTTGCAGTGTTTCTGACAGCGCCAAAAATTGGAAAAACACAATTGTTTTGCATGAAATCAATTTGAAAACATGAT